TAGCTTTAAACTTTTTTTTGAATGAATGAATGAAATGCTAATGGTCTAATCCGATTCAGTTCATTATGTTAAGCTAAGCTAAAACTGGCCCTACCAGAACAAGAAATGGTTTGAATGGATTAAAAAAATGGTTGAAGTCAACTGCTTAATTCTAGGAGACTTGTAAAATAAGTCTCTCTCTCTCTCTTTTTTTTAAGGTTTAGTGTTCCTTTAAATATCTGAACAGTCAGAGCTCTGTTCTTAATTATTAACATTTTCGATCAAACATTTAACAAGATTAGCTTTTATAATGCTGGAAAATCCTATTTTAAACACAATTACAGGTCAAAGTACAAACCTGCATTGCTAAAAGACAATTCTGTTCCTTATTTGTAAGCCGATTTGGATTTAAAAACATATCTGCACTTATATATATGCAATGGAACTGATCCAGTGTCAGTTTCTGCTATTTTCACATGCTTATATGTGACTATAGACTAGAAAACTGAACCAACTGATGCCAATAAAATCTTTAGAACATTAAGCAAACACCATGCTCCATTTATAATAGGTTTTGTTAATTTTCCACTATAAATACATCAAAGCTTAAATTTTATTAGTAATATGCATTGCTAAGAACTTAATTAGGACAACTTTAAATGAAAATATCAATACTTAAAATTTTACCACTCAGATTCCGCATCTTATACCAAATATTAACAAACCACACATCAAAAGAAAGCATAACAATTTAGCTTTTGGATGATGTATAAGTCTAAATTTCAGCTTCCATTAGACACTTATTATTGGCTTTGTGCTCTATTGTCACATATGGCCTGAAGGATCTGATTCTAGATCAGAGAAATGACACTAGATAAACCACATCACTACCAAACAACAGCACAGTCTACACACTAACAAACACTGGTCTGGTCTAAACTAATCCACAAGCTGTTACCTGTGTCTCTGAGCGGATTTCACCACCAGCATGAGGAGAAACTTCCGAGATGTGGATACTAATGAAGGAAAAAATGAAAAGAGAAGCCCTAAAGAGCATTTCAACAGTGTGTTTGTGCTACAACTGTGGACATTATGAACACCCCAGTTTCAAATATCAGCCAACATTGCTTTAAACGTCATGTAATATTTCGTTTTATAATCAATTTGAGTGCAATGACTTACACATTAAAAGAACAACTTTTTAATGAGTTTGGCCATTCGTTTCAACATTTATTTAATTGACAATAACATTTTGGGTCCAGAAAAAAAGTTTGGGGTTTTAAATAAAAATATACCAATCAATTGATTAATAAATAAATAAAAAATTGGATGGAAGCAAGTACACTACCTGACAAAAGTCTTGTCACCTATCCTAATTTTAGGAACAACAAATAATAACGTGACTTCTAGTTGATCATTTGGTATCAGAAGTGGCTTATATGAAAGGTAAAGGCCTCTGAATTACACTTATTTTACCACAATAAAATATAATGATGCCTTGATTATTAATTATTTAATTAGGACAGTAAAGTCTGACTTTGCTTAAACAAAAGTCTTGTCACTGAACAGAAATAATGTCCAGTATAGAATATAAAGTCAAGCTGCAGTGGAGAAAGAATGAATATTGTGTATGACTCCCATGAGCTTGAAGGACTGCATCCATACATCTCTGCAATGACTCAAATTACTCACCAAGTCATCTGGAATGGCAAAGAAAGTGTCTATGCAGAACTCCCAACGTTCATCAAGATTTTTTAGATTCATCTCACCCCAGACATGCTCAATAATGTTCATCTCTGGTGACTGGGCTGGCCAATCCTGCTGAGGAATTTGCCCTCACCTGTGGTTTGTAATGTATTGGGCAGCATAAATGTCTTGATACCTCAGACTGTTGATGTTGCCATCCACTCTGCAGATCTCTCGCACGCCCCCATACTGAATGTAACCCCAAACCATGACTTTTACTTCACCAAACTTGACTGATTTCTTTCACAATCTTGGGTCCATGCTGGTTCCAATAGGTCTTCTGCAGTATTTGTGATGATTGGGATGCAGTTCAACAGATGAATCATCGACCTTCAGCCACTTTTCCAAATGATCAACTAGAAGTCAAGTTATTACTTGTTGCTCTTACAACTGGGATCGACGACAAGACTTTTGTCGGGTAGTGTAATATACACAGATAAACACACACAAAAAGCAGCCACTATATAATTTAAAAAATATAATGAAAAAAATGTCAAATTAATATAAAAATAGCAGTATAATTAAATAAAGTAGCACAGTAAATACAGCGATGGCAGGTTGGAGTTAAACAGTATGTCTTAAAGACACCAGCATTTCATGACAACAAACGTTTTTAAGTTACTTAACTTATTTGCGTATGTTAATCAGATTTCAACATTATAATAATACAAATTAACTCAACATCTTAACTCTTAAAATGACTCGCAAAAGTTCATTTGAATCAACTTAAAATGTTAGAAGAGCAAACTATTATTTTGTTTAGTTTGAAGTACTTCAAAATTGAATATGTTTGCAACAGTAATACATTATTTTTTAACGTTATTGCTGTGAAACGGTTTTTAAATATTTCTGTACTGCTTGATGTTCAGTAGTACAGACTAACAATAACTTGTTTAACAACATGATGACAGTGTGATAAAAGATATTACAGTGTGATAATATTTTTCTCGAACACACACCAGAAGCCTGTTTGAGTGGTTCTGCTATAGAACAGGGCGTATGATGATGATTTATGATCTCGGGAATCTAGCTGAACCTGCTTCATGAGCAGTGTTGCCAGGGTTGCTTTTTTCATGCAAGATTGGGTGTTTTCGTTTATTCATTTTAATTATTTAATTATATTTTTAATTGTTGTGTTTTTTTTTTTTTTTTTTTGTCATTTAGGTTTTGAGCTGTCATTAGGTTGGAATTTTTACTTGGACCTGGCAACCCTGTTTGAGAAAAATACTGAGATCAAATTGAAATCAAACTATTAAACCTCTAAAAAGTGAATATTGATGAAATGCTGGTTTTCATTCCAATGTTTGATTGGTATTGGGGATATACTGGTAAAATGTTTCTCTCTTAAACAAAAAAAATTCTTAACTGACAATTGACCTTATTCTAAAATGCGGAAGTGCGCCTGTATTCGCGATTGTCTTAGAACTTCCGATTCAGTCGCCTATGGGAGAAATGACTAGGAATAATAAACGGCAGAAAATGGTCAAACTACTTGCTCTACAAACAAATGTTTGCATGACTATACAGACCAAGTAGAATATTTTGAAAAGAAAATATCAAATTGCAACATCAAGTAGCGTAACGAGCAGTTTTTAATGTCAAAAAATGAATGGAAGTAAATGTGACCGGAAGTCGCGAGACAAAAAGATTCAAATGGCAGCGCCCGCTCGTCGGCGGAGAATAAGGTGAATAGCCCCTTTCAAACATACAGACCTTTCCAGAATATTACCGTTAATTTTCCGGAAAGGTCTGTATGTGTGAACAGGCCCTTTTTGAAAATACCGGTAAATTCGTTCCAGCTATTTTCCGGAAAGAGAAGTTGTAACATTACCGGTAATTTGCCGGAATGCTGCGCTGTGTGAACGCAGAAGGAAGATTGCTGGAAAGAGCGCGTTCACGTCTAGAACGTGCTGACGTGAGACGTTAGCCAATCAGAACACTCACGCATTCAAGTCTGCGCGGTTTATGAGAATAAAAGCCTTTGAATATTTTTCCAGACACATTTAGCTGCTGGATGTTAGTCTGATAACTTTATATGTTCCTTCTTAATGCCAACTGTGTAAAGTTATCGATAAGATGCTTATGATAAGCCGTTGTTTGTTTACCTTCAAGCTCTGCTTCCAGTTGCTTGACGTGTCGCGTCACTCGTGTGCCCGTGAAGCAACTGGTGAGCGCCAGCGCACACATATCATGTACATCTCGCATTGCAAAAGTGTTTCGCTATATGTTTTCATCGAAGTTGTTCACAATACTGATCCATCCACAGAGTTTTTATTGTAGTCAAGTGTTTACAAATACAAGCGCAGCCGTTTAGGGCTCATTTCTGGTTAATGATGTCAGAATTCACCGGTATTTTGGAATGGATGTGTGCCGGAAAAATTCCATAACGTCCTGGCCTGTGTGAACAGCGCTGTTTTGAATTTACCAGTAAAGTCGTTCCATAAATTTTCCGGATATTTACTGGTATCTCTGTGCGAATAGGGTTAATGATTTTAAAATAAATACCTGGCAACAAAAATAAATTAAAATGAACACAATTCAGCCTGACATTCTAAGGCAGTAACACTAACCATTAGAACATTTATATTAGTTTACCCCCATACTGGTCACCATTACAACACTATATGTGATTGCTGGAATCTAATCACCTTTGACATAGGAGTCCCACTGTCTCCTGTAGTTGAGGTCCATGTAAACCTCGGCGCAGAGCTCTGGAGAACAGCCGGACAGAGAACCAAACACTTTATACTCGTACAAACCCGTCTCCTGCTCGAGAAATAAAGACAAAAGTGTTACGAACAATTATTAGATCACAACTACAGCTGCTTAATCACATAATACATCTTAAAAGATTGAAATCAGTGCTATTTTTATTATTATTCTGAATCTGCTCACCAAGGCTGTATTTATTTGACCAAAAATGAAAACATGAATAAATAAAAAAATTTTAAATATTATTACTATTTTTAAAAAACTGTTTTCTTTCTTTCTTTTTAGATTTATTTTTGGCCTTTTTGACTTTATTAAAAAGCACAGTATTGAGACAGAAAGCAAAGTTGGAGAGAAAGAGGGGGGTAGGGTAAGGAAATGTCCTCGATCCGGGATTTGAACTTGGTTCGCCCTGAGCCCTAGGCTATTGTGCTCACAAAATAACTGTTTTCTTATTGAATGTGGTTTAAATGTTATTTATTTCTGTAATTAAAATCTGAATTTTTTTGGATCATTTCCATTTAGCAGACGCTTTTGTCTAAAGCGACAGACAATTGAGAAGGCATTCAGCAATTCAACAGGAAGAGGAAATACACAAAACAAGTGCTAATTATACAAATGAACTGATAGTGCTCAGACAACTAAGTGCAAGTTTTTTTTATAAATAGAGAGAAGAGACTTTCTACAGGTGGTTTGTCAAGCCCACTCACCTGTGTGAGATGTTTTTTTTAAGATATGGAGTGATTATGAGAAAGTGTCAGGTGTACAAATGTGCAAAACTGCAATTAAGAGTGCTGAAAGAGTGTGTTTCTACAGGTGGCTTGTCAAACCCACTCACCTGTGTGACACACTTACAATTGCATAATGTTTTGAGGTTGTCTTGTATCATTACACCAGTCACATGATTCTCCAGAAAGCATTATAATATTATGATTAGCAGTTCAGTTTTGATAACTGGTAAAGTCATTTATAACGCTTCTTACGCTTCTGTTATCAGTGACGAAAATAATTTTCCCCTGCTTTAGTATTATGAAATATAGTAGTGATAGTGTTTATTAGCTAGCATTTATTTGCAATACATATATATTTAAATTGTACATTTCTTTATATCCACTCATGAGTAATTGAATGCATCATTGATAAAAAAAATAATAAACATATTGACTAATTTAAATTTTAATAAACTAACTGTAACTAAATAGTACCAGACCCCACAAAAAATAATGACGTTAATAATAATAATGTTTAATGTTTTTTTTCTTGAGCAGCAGAAAATAGTTATTTATATTGCAATACTATGTTGCAGTCTTTGCTGTATTTTTTTATTAAGTGAATGCACCATGTGAGGAAAGTAAGCTTATTTAAAAATATACTAATCCCGAACTTTGTCTGGTTGTGTATACTGCATGAGCGCAGCTGATCCCAGTGCATGCAGACAGGATCTCTTGAATGCATCAGTCACACTTCTTTATCTTTTTTTGCTTATAATGCACTTAAACATCTGGAACTTTTACAGCGACAGTGGGAAAGTCATTTCAGCCACAGTGGAGCAATCTAAACACTAAAATGCTATACACACACACACACACACACACACACACACACACACACACCTCTATATATATATATATATATAT